GAGGAGAGGAGAGGAGAGGAGAGGAGAGGAGAGGAGAGGAGAGGAGAGGAGGAAATAAAAGTGGGAGATAGATTTTCCAAGAATCCTCAGTAAGTTACTATTGTAGGTAAAGCCAGGACTTTTCAGCTCCCAGCCCCAGAGATCCAGCAAATTTTTTTTTTGAGACAGAGTCTTGTAGTCCAAGCTGGTCTTTGAACTGACAGTGATATCTCCTGTCTCAGCCTCCCAAGGCTCCCAATCCCTGTGCTGGGATTACAGGCGTGCACCACCACATCGGACTAGAGAATTCTTAGTGCAAACCAAGAAAAGCAATGCCATTCCCCGGGGGCCTCTGGCTCCTGTGCCAGAGGGGACACTCTTGCATGGGAGGTGGCACTCACCGTACCACATCCACTGCACCTGGCCGGACCTTGGGGTCACTGCCCATGATGGACACGCTGGCCGCAAAGGACCCGTCGATACTGAACACCACGCACTCCATGCCCCTGGGCAGCACTGTGAGGTAGCTCATCGCACAGCTCTGGTCACCCCTGAAAGGCACAGGACACCCGTGTCAGCTGTGGCTGGAGTCAGAGCTAGTGTGGGGCCAGGATGAGAGATGGTCCGAGCAGCATCTCCTGACACCACAGCTGGTGGCTTCTTCCACTGTCCCCTCTCCATGCAGAGAGCTTGGGCCAAGGACCTGTCTTCTGGACAGACACTGCTAGAATGGCAGTGGAAATGGGAAAGGCCCACATGAGAACACCCCCCGGGTCCTACCTGACAACCATCTTCACGGGGTACACACCAATCCCCAAGCGCCGGGGCCGGGGCACATTGTATGTGATCCGACCGCTGTTGTTGGTGATCTCTGTGTCCAGGTGTACCCAGCGGCCCGAGGATGGCTCTGCCATCACCAGGATGTCCACCTGCAGGCGGTGAAGGAGGGAGGGGACTCAATGCAGGCTGGGGGGTGCAGGCTTGGCAGAGAGGCTGGGCTGGGAGCTTTCTCCCAGGGCACCAGGCCCTGGCATGCAGGTTACTGCTGCATTCTTGGATTTTCCCAATTCTCCTTCCCTCCCTCCACTGCAGCCAGGTCTCCCAGTGCATCCCTCACTTTGCCCCTGATCTGCCTGTGCCAGGTGAGTGGCTCCTTGTTCTCTGCTCTCATCACAGGCAGCTCAACCCTCCAGAAACCCTCGCCCCTCACGTCGCATCTGGCACAGGTGGACCTGCTGATGGGGGATACCTGGCCCTCAGTACCTTCTCTCCAGTCAGAGCCACCATGTCGAGAGGCCCATACATGAAGCGTCCCACCAGGACCTGGGGGCCGTCTTCAGCAGCAATCACATCATTGGCCCGGTGATTAGCAGTGACATTCTGGAAGGACAGAAAGAATCCGGCTCAGCCTCTGCAAGCAGGGCTTCAGCTCGCTATGTCAGGAAGCACTCAGGATGGCTGGAGGGGTGTGGACCTATGGAATCGTGGCTCTCCAAACTTCTGCTAGGGATTCAGAGACAGGTTTCCATAAGAGAAGAGACATGAGCCACTAATACTATCTTCAAGACACCCTGGGCTTGTCATGGAGGTACTGCTTTTGCCACCCTGCCTGCCCCTGAAGTGACAACTGGACCTTGTGTCCTACTGTCTTCTCGAGTCCTAGGCTGGAAACTGCCCAATCACCTTCCACTTCTCCCTCTGCATCATCGCTCACATCCAAGCCACTTGGCATCCTTCTTCTTTTAGTGGAAAATTTCAAAAACACAGAGAGAATAACACAGCAGTGCCCCTCAGCCTGGCCGCAGCGCCGCTGCTCACAGCCCACTGCCATTCTGGCCTCATTCTCCCCAGCCTCACCCAACCCAGGCTATTTTGGAGCAATGAGAACAGCGTATCACGTTCTCTATAACCATCTCAGCATTGCTTCTCTTCACTTCTGCCTTTAGTTCATTCTGTAGCTCCAAGACCTGTGTCAGCCCTGACTGCACACCATTCCCAGGCTGGCCTTTGAAACCCACATCTCCCAATCTGCTGATCCTTCCTGGTAGCACTGGCCGCACAGGTGTCTCTGCCACACCCACACTACCCATTGCCTCGATCTGCTAGGGTTTTCTAATGGAGTTCCCTATCCAAAACCTGCCCCCGACATCCTTGTAAAGCTCAGCTCCATTAGCACCTTGTCAGACCGGCTCCCCGCACTCTGCATGAAGTCCCAGTTCTGAGTTCAGCATTCTGAGCCTGGCCTGGGCAACTTCCACTCTCAGGCCCGGCTCTGCAGGGGCCTCCACGCCTTCACTCACGCTGCGCCTCCCACTCCGTATGCCATTCCTGACCCTCTGCTCCCACATTCCAGCCCACCTGCTAAGACCAGACTCAAAACCTCCTCTCAACTCCTATGATCCTTTGATTCAATTCCACAAACACCCACGGGCACCTCACTTACACGGTCCCTGCAAAACAGCAGCCGTGGGCCCTGCCCTGGAAGCACCCATCAAAGTGGGGGACACGGCTCTCTTACAGGAGCCCTGCGGAAGGAAGGGCTGATCATGGAAATGTGCATGTGAAGTAGTTAACACCAGGGAAATGCAAATCCAAACCATAATGAGATCCCCCGGCATGCCCTAGGATGACTACAATCAAAGGGACAGACAATCACAGGCGCTGCTGAGACGTGGAGAAATCAGAACCCTCATACACGGCTGCTCAGTGTGTACAATGGTGCAGCCACCGTGGAAAACAGTCTGGAGGTTCCTCAAATGACTAAACCCAGAGTTACCATCCGATCCAGCCATTCCCCTCCTAGGTTGAACCCAAGAGAAATGAAGGCGTACGCCCACACACAAACATATGCATGATTATTTACAGCACCATGAGTCATGATCATGATAGCCAAAAGGTAGAAAGAACCCAAATGTCCATCAGTTGTCAACAGATAAATGAAATACAGTCTACCCATGCAGTGAAGTATTACTCAGCCATGAAAAAAATGAAGTTCTGATACATGCTGCAACATGGATGAACCTTGAAAACATTAGGCTAAGTGAAAGAAGCCAGACACAGAAGATCACAGATTATATGGTTTCATTTGAATGAAATGCCCAGAATAGGCAAATCTACAGAGACAGAAAATAAATTAATGATTGCTTAGAGAAAAGAGAGGGGCTGAGGATATGACAAGATGGCTGAAGAATGCATTTTCTTTTTGCAGATGATAAACATGTTCTAAACAGTAGAGTTTAAAATGGAGGAGTTATATATGTAAATTATATATCAATGAATGTATCTGCAAAAGGAATAATTGATTCCTGAAACACTGATCACCCTGTACCTTTGAGGACTGTCCTGGGGTCCCTATGTAATCCTCCCACCAGACTGGAGCTGCCCAGCACACAATGGCTGTATCTATGTATAGCCTCAGACTGTAACATGGTCCTGGCAGAAACACCGAGACAGAGTAGGCACTGATGACAGTTTGCTGCATGAGTAATGAATGTATGCATCCCAAACTCCTATTCATCCTCTGATACCCTACAGAGGAGTCTCCTTTTCAGAGAAGTCCTGTATGAACTGTCCTCACAATCCTTTTTCATTCTAATCCATGTCTCCCTCTGTCATGGTAAATATGGGTCTGCATCCCAGCTATGTGGGTACTAACCTCCAAAGACAAATTGAAGCTCTTATCTGCTATGTGGATGCGCCAACCCTGGGGCAGCCCGACCCCCCCGGGCCACAGTCCCAAGGCCTGCAACCCCAGGCAGGCAGGCACCTACCCGCAGCTTGACCTGGGTCCGCTTGCGGAGCCACTTCTCGCGGGGGTTGCTGGGGCTCAGTGCTGCGGGGTCCAGGCCAGCACTCTCCTTGACGCTCACGCTCTCGTAGCGCATCACCTGGCCAAAGCCAAGCAGGGTCCTGGGCAGATGCTCGTGGCCCTCTGGCTCCTCCTGGGGTGTCACAGCCCGCCGGCTTGTGGCCAGCCAGGCCCTCCTGGGGCCTCCCCACTTCCCAGCCAAGGCCCCTCGGGAGGCTGGAGGCCCAAGAGCCTGGCCTGACAGCTGCGCCACAGCACTGACACCCAAGCAGCTCTATTCTGGGGAGCAGCCTCTGCTCTCCAGGCCTGCGCCCACTCTCTGCCCTCCTTCCTGCACCCCAAGAACCCAGAACCCAGCCCTTCCCCCTGCTCACTGTCATCACTCCAGCAACATCCCCTGCCCGGGCCCGCCTCTGGGACTAGACGCTCCTGGACCGCTTCCTTTCCACCCATCTACGCCTGGATAGCGCCCGTCCTAAAGAAAAGCTCTCTCCCAGAACCCTTTCTGCCTCCCCAGCTTCCTCACACCCCTGGTCTCCCTTGCAGCAAAACACACGACTTCTCCTAGGCTCCTTCTCCTCCTCCCCGCCCCTCTCCTCTGCCACTCCAACAGGCTTCATGCCCCTGGTTCCAGCGCCACTCCAGCCCCGGCCCTGGGGCTTCCATCCCGTCCAACTCAAGGTTCACTGCCGCCTGCCCGCTCTGAGTTCCCCCCTGACCTCAAGGGGCATCCTCTGCTGTCTCTGTAGGTCCTCGCCAGCTGGAACTCTGGGGTCTTTCCCACCCGCCCCTCTCTAGTGACCCCTCGGTGCTCGTCACTGGCTTGAGCGCTGTCCCAGTGCAGACCACTTCCGCATTTTCGGCTCTCATCCTGATCTCTTCGCTAAGCTCTGGGCTCTTCTACTTGCTTCCCTCCCCAGCAGCTACCAGGAACCCCAGGCTGCGGCTTCCGCCACACAGCCTCGTCCCCACTCCAGGAAATGGCACCCCATAGTTACGCCAGGGAAAGCAGGACCCGCTGGGCTCCTTTCTGCCTCCCCACCTGTCCCAGACCTCAGAGCGCTGCCACCAGAGCGCGGTGCCCGCCTCTTTGGCGCCTCCGCCCTGGACCCTCCTCCAAGCCGCCTTCTCTAAGCTGAGCCGCTGCCCTCGCCTCCCCGGGAACTCGCACTTCCTCTCCTGCTCCCAAAGCAACAGCCCCAGAGTCTCCCTCCCAAAACACAAGTCAAGTGGTAGGTGTCCCTTGCTCACAGCCCCACGGGGGCTTCTCACTGACCTCAGGTTAAGATTCTACCCCGACCTTGGCCATCCAGCTGCCCACACCTTCTCCCGTCCCATTTCCCCAGGCTCCTTTCGTCACTCGTCTTCCCGCTGCACCTGCCACTCTAAAGACCAGGACACGGAGCTGCAGGGAGGAGCAGGAACAAGTTGCCCCCCTCTCCACGCTGACACACTGCTCTATTCCCCTACTTCATTTCAATTTCATTTTCTAGCAAGTACCACTCTGCGAGCCACTCAGAAGTGAATGTTCTTTATAAAACCCACTCTCTGACCATGTCATCCCCTCCCTTGTTTAAGTGCCCAAAGCCTTCTCAGTGCTGCCTCTCAGTGTTGCCACCATGCCAGGGTGCTGGGCATGGTGGTGCACACCTGTAATCCCAGCACTCAGGGGGCTGAGGCAGGAGGAT